ATAGTAGAAATGTTAAGCGATTTATACATCCCCATTAAAATTACTTTCATGAGTGTTTTATACTTTCATATGCTTTCATGTTACTAACTGGTGTCCTTTCATTTCAGCTTGAAGAGCTCCCTTTAGCATTTCTTGTAAAGTTTGGTGGTGATGAACTCCCACAGCTGCTACGTGCTAAGGGTTTCAGAGGTGAAAATAAAGTCAAGATTTCTGTTTTTATAAAGCTGACATTTTATCGGTAGATTTTTGGAAGCACAACTAAATTATGTAACTTGGAAACCTAGAATTAAAATTTAAATTCCTACTTTCAGAAACTTATTGAATATGAATGCCAGACATTTGTAATTTTTATATGCATTTATTTTGATTGTACACAGTAGGATCATCCATCAGTAAAACATTACTATTGTTTCCAAAAGACTGCTTATTTACTAGAAATTAAACAAATAATAATAATAACAACGTATTGGAAATGTACTGAATCCCATTGCTGTAGACTGGGCTTTTATATCCAGATAAAAAGAGCTAAGAACTGAGTAGCACATCACCAAAAATGCAAAGATTATCTTCCATTCAGAATTTAATTTCTGTCTGTGAAAATAACAGCTTAAATCTAAACTTTAACTTCAACGTTAAAACATTTTTACTAGGACTAAAAATCACTGTTCAAAAACCACTGTCATTCTAAAATATTATTTCATATTTTTTAAGTTCCAGAGTAAATAATTTACTTTTAGTGTGAAATAAGGAAACGTCAAAATAGCCCATTTGAAGAATGTTTTGTGTCCAGGGGAAGGCCAGAGGAGAAAAGTCCATTTCTACTTTTAAAATCACTAAGTTTTACAAAGGCTCAAGAAAATAGATGCAGACATGAAAATTCCAACTTCAAGGCAATGAAACCTCAGACACATTCAGACTAAATTACTCTTTCCTCCCGGCACATATTTAGGTATTTCTTATTACACCCCATTAGTGGATCAGGGACAGCTATTCGAAGACACATATGAGCATTTGAATCGTATTTCAAGGCTGGAAAGGACCATGGTTTACATAGTTTAACTCCCTCATTGTTAGAGTGAAACTGAGGTCTAAAGAAGGGAAGTGATTTATCCATGTCAACAACATTGGCAAGTGGCAGACTGTCAGAAGTTAAGTTTTTTCACACTTAAGGTACCCAGTATATTTGGCTATGAATATAAAACTAATAACCTTGGGGTACTTAAAAATGCAGGTCTCAGGACCCATCCCCAGAGATTCTAATCAGGTAGAGCTGTGACGGTGCCTAGAATTTACTGTTGATGATGCCACAGCTGGTCTGAGAACTACACTTGAAGAGACATTATGCAAATCCTTTAAGACTTAACTATGTCCAAAGTAAAATGTAAAGCAGTGTGAAAGTTTCAAATCACACCCTTAAAGACATTATTATTATTCCCACTGCTTCTCAGATATTCCTGTGTTCATGTATAATGCACAATTCACAAAAATCAAAGTCCTCTGACTGGTCATGACTTTGATTATCACAGTGAGCCCCTGCAATGGAAATCAGAGCCTCTGATCTTTCCTTCATGTCTCAAGATTATCCAGCTAATGTATTTCTAAGGCAAAGAGAGGAATATTTCATTCCAAGAAATATTTGAGACTGCAACAATTTGTAACTAACTACTTATGTTTCTTCTAACACAAATAAAATTCTCACTTTTATAATGGATTTGCTTTGTAAAAAATATATCCGCTTATTTATTCAATGAATATTTGCTGAGTATCTACCGACCTTTAGTCAACATCTGCTGCACCATAATCGTATGTAAAATGTCTCCTAAAACAGATTTGACAATCAACTGCAAAATGATACTGGAAATTGTGGGGATTAGGTGGGGAGTTCCATTACCTTATACAGCAGTGATTACAAAAAAAAAATACAGAAATGTTTCTATATAATGCTATAGAAAATGTTTGTAACTATTTTAATGGGCTCCTGAATTAAAGGAGGTCTACATAGACACAATAGCAAAGCAATAACTGGAGTCATAGTTAACTCAAATAGAAAATGAACCTCGTAGGCCAAGATTTGTGTTAAACCCAATAATCCAATGCTAATGACAGTCTTTTGTTTTACATTTATCCATATATACTCTTTTATGAGTTCTCTATGACAAATAACAAAAGCATATATGAAGCTTGAATGAAGCAGGTCTCAATTTTAATTAATCTCATGAAATGTGGCAGATTATTGATTGAACTCAACTGCAAGTCTGGAATTATCTTCTCTAAATCAAAGATGACCCCAAAAGATCTACCATTATGCTTCCGGGTATATTTTAATATACTGTCATTTCAGATTATTTTGATTTATTTGTTGATTCTCTGTCTTGTTCCAAAAGGATTCAAGGCTGTTATTTCAAATTAACATGTCCTTATCAGACTTTTTCTGAAGAAAGTAGTTGGATCACCAGCAACAGATGCTCAGTTGAAAGATCAAGTTCTGTCCAAGGCTTCATTTTATTTTCTGGAGGGCACCGCAAAGGATTCCAATTTCACCTACAAAAAACCACCACCCAAATAAGCCACTCATATAAAGAACAAGCACCCTTCAGGTGTCCACAACATGTATAGCTGTACGGGATCAGCTGGCTGTGTGGATAAGCTGGTTGCCACCCCAACCTTCAAGGAGTTTACAGCCTAATTGTGAAGGTAGGATTTGGGCAGTTATGGTATAGGTATTGACATGTTTTAGGGAGTGCTAGATCTATTAATTTAATTAGCTTCCTCTTCCCATAGGCGATTTCCCAGGGAAGGATTTAACAGGTTTCTCCCCAGGCAAATCACTAGCTGCTCTTTCTCTGTTACATAACTAATAGATGTCTCAAGGAGGTAAGTAATCGAACGTAAAAGTTTGGTTCACACAAATCTCTGGTGTCAGAATCACCTGAGGTCTACAAATTCCCAAGACTTACCACACATTTGGTAAATTTAGTGTGGAGCTATGACTTAGCACTAATTAATTAGCATTAATGAATTAGCATTAATTAATTAATGCTAATTAATTAGCATTAATTTTTAACTAGCTCTCCAAGTGATCCTGATGCACACTGAAGTTTGAGAACGCGTGGTTTAAGCAGATAACCCAGCCCAGATGGCTAGGATGAAGGTGCGATGCAGCACTTCCATTCGTGCCATGTTCTCACATGCCAAGGGGGCCACAGGGACATAGACTCTTCATAGAGGTGGCAAGAGTCTTGGAAATGGGTAAGTCTCACTCCCTCCTATATCCTGAGGACACAGAAGTGTAGAGAAGCAATTAGGCCTTACATATAAGGTCACATGGCTCTAAGGACACTTTGTTTCCTAAATTTGTTATTCCATGCCTTTAAAAACTCCCGTAATAGCCCATGGAGTTATTTTTGCCTTTTTAGAGACAATGAGAAAGAGAGAAAAAACAGCTATGGCCTCACCCCTCTGTCTTATGTCCTAACTTCTGAAGCACTTGTCTGGTTTCTTCAGTGAACAAATCTACTCCAGCTGAGTGTCTAAGATGGAATCTTTGGGGGTGAATCAGCCTTGGACTTTTCAACATGGCTGATCACAGGTGTTCACACCTAATGGGGAATGACTATCAGGGTCAGGGCCAGCTCTGGCCTTATGTATTAGAAGTGGCCCCAAGGATATTAGAGGAACACTTCAAGCCCACCTGCCCTTTTGGCCTTCATTGGCATTGCATAAGGCAGGGATGCCCCACTTGGCCTAGAGTTTCTCCCTTTGGGATCCCCACTTTGGAAGTTTTATCCATTCTTTCACCAGCTCTTGAGTGCCTGATGTAATTTTTAGAAATAGGGCTAGGTACTGGGGATTTGACAATGAACCTGACATAGCATGTTGCTCAGGTCTAGTTGGGGAGACCAACAAGTAAACAGCTATATAACAATGCAATGATAAGTCCTCTGAGAGAGGAATCTGTAGGAACGCAAAGACACGGGAGGGACATCCAAACTCAGCTTCCTACAAGAAGAGGTGCCTACGCAAGACTTAAAAGATGAACTGGAGTTGGGTGTCTCTAAGTGATAGTATGAAGGAGAGTATTTTAAACATAAACTGCATAGGCACAGGCTGGGAGCCAGGAGAGAGCACTGGAACTAAAAGTCAATCAGCATTGCTGGAAAGGAGTATGAAGGGCTAGAGAGAGAATCGGATGATGAATAAGGTGATTTAAGAAAAACTTATAACATCCTCATTATCAAGGAAGAGTGGAAGGCCAAAAGCTGAGCCACTGGATGGTTGACAAAGTAGATGGAACCAGGTAGAGTGATACCACCTGGGGTGGAGAAGCAAAGGAGAAAGAGAAACATGGCAGGGATGGGCCAGGTGTGGGAAGTTGGTATGGGGGTAGGAAGTGGGTGGAATCTAGGAAGGTCAAAGGGAAAAAGACACTAAGGCAATTCTGGCATTTTTGCCAAATTCCTCACCCCCAGTGAACCGATGGCTTGCATGGAAATGCTGTTCTCCTTAATGCAATATTTAATAAATTTCTAATTGTGCCTCTATTACCAGGAAGGAGAGTGGCCACATAGGGTGTAAGTTACTTACTGTTGATGGAGTCGGCCAAAATCGTGAGCTGCTGGACATTGTCCAAGACCTCAATCCTTTGGGTGTATGGGTCATAACGAACTGAGAAGGGCCGAGGGATTGTGGCAGCAAAGTTCCTGAAACCCAAACCACAGGACTGAGTGAAAGCTCCATTTGGAGAAAAGGAAATTTAAAGGATTTCTCAGTGGCATTTCACTTTGCTCTGAGTAGCACTGAAACCTCACTAGAACAGGGGCTTCAGAAGCCAGGCTGAGAAGGGAAATGGAGTTTCAGTGAGTCCTTTTGGAAGGCCTTTGTGTGTCAGTGTGTACATACAAACACATGTATGCACATATTTATTTAGTCACTTGCTCCAAAAAGACAGAGGTAGCTTACAATGAAAGCACAGAATGCAGTAAAGCCACAAGCTCTCATCATTAAATAAAATCAAAGAGTGTAAAACCTAGCCAAAGAATGCTATAGCAAAAAAATCTCTGCAATGCTTGACAAGTAATGCAAAGAGGGAAACAGTTTTCAAGGACTGAGGAAAGCACTATGTTGATAATGAAATTAAATGTGGATTGAGTGCCTCTTATGTACCAGGAGCTATGTTAAGTCCTAACTGCTCTATAGTCTATAAATATCATTCCTAATTTAACCTTCACAAAAACTTTAGGAGGGTAGGTACTATTACTATCCCCATTTTACAGATGAGGAAACTGAGGCTTGGGAAGGCTGTGTGACTACCAAGGCCAAACTGTCAGTAAGCTGTGAAGCTGGGAAGGGGTCCAGGCGGTCTGACTCTGGTCTGCACTCTTTGCTTTCCTGCCTTCCCAGTGCATGACTCCCAGATCTGGGAGGAATCTGCCATGAGGGCCTCTGTGAGGGTTATCAGGCAATTTAATTAACAAGATGTTCCAAAGTCATCACAAATGCTATTTCTAAGTTGGCCCCTGGTGAAAGTAGAAGCTGCCATACTGAAAAGACAATAGTAAGGGGAGAGTAGGGCCCTCCGTATTTGGCAAACATGGTTCCCAAGGTCCCCTGTCAGGCTGCTTGGGCTGAAATCTTGCCTCTGCCTACGATGGCCCTGTGGCCATGGGCAAGGGCTCCACTTTGCTGCACCCCAGTTTCCTGACTCCTCTGTAGAATTGGGGTGGCAGCAGTACCTATGTCAGAGCGCTGTAGCGAGTGCTGTTAGAAAATAGAGTAAGTGCTCCATGAGTGTAAGCTGCTATCTTTCATGAAGAACAAATGGTCAAGTGCATCTCTCCACCTCCTCTGCCTCAGCCCAGCGGGTTGCATGAGCCACGGGACGCACATCTGTGACTTTGCTTGCTCCACACATCTTCCTCTTCTCCCCACAGAGCTCCTCGCTTTTGCTGTGCGCAATCTGCCCCTACCCTGCTGGGTGTGTCTGTCGGGCAGTCAGTCCCGGGGCCAGCCCTCCTCTGGCCCAGCAGTAGCAAGTGATCCAAGCTCAGTCAATCGAATCTCTGCCTAGAGTTTGAATCTGATAACTGAAAATGGTGGGAGTTGGTTTCCCTTAGCCAGAGTGCTCTGAGGGGATCCCCAGAGATGCCCAGGTCCCCTCCTTGTTTTGTTTGACCCTTGCTCTTTAGTACTCTCTTTCACCCCGCGAGCCACTTCTCAGCAGAATGGAGCTTTTATGGTTGTCTCCCTCGGGTCCTGGCAAAGCAGGTGGGCTTTCAAAGGCCTCATGGGACCGTGTCCTGCTGGTGAGGGACCGATCGCTTGCTGGTTAGAGAGCTGTCTCCAGAAGGGTCCATCCAAATGTGATCTCAGTAGGACAGGTGCTTACAAACACTAGTGCTAAGCACCACTGCCTGCTCCAAGCCCTGGGCCAGTCACGACACTGGGTGAGTTGCTCATTTGTTCTATGCTTATGCACCCTCATCTACAAACTTTGTAGTATTATTTGAAGATTAAATTATAGTTAAAACATGAAAAGCACTTAGAACAGTGTTTGGCACACAATAGGTGCTAGGCATGTACTATCCATTATTACTGTTATTAATTACCCAGGTGAGGTCATGCGCTAATCCACTAAAATTCAACACTCAAGGGGTCCCAGGAATGGACAGTGGAGCCTTTGGAGGCTGGAGGGAAGCTAGGCTCCCAGTGTGGGGTGCAGGTTTAGGAGAGAACTAGAACAGCGCTTGACAGCCCTGGTGAGAAGAGGGAGAAAGGAAACCATTTCAGGCCAAACCAAGTGGACTTGTGGGCCAGCACTGTACCATTAATTACTTAAGCCCAGTGCACTGAAAGCTGACAGACCCAGCTTCATAGACTCCCAGAGGTCTGTATGTCCTTTGTCTATCACTCAGCACTGATAAGACATATATTTTTTGAGTAGTAACAAATAGTGAGTATTAGGATACATGTCCAGGTAGACCCTCTGCCTGGCCTGTCTCCTGCTAGGATGAGAGCCTGGTTGAAGAGTTGCCCCAGCAAGCTGTAGGCAGGGCTGTCAGGGGCCGAGCGACTGAGAGTCCCGGCACCATTCCTCAGCCTCTTGCTGAACTGCCTCTGAGACTGATGTTTTTGTCAATTATTTGCTGAGTGCTTACTCTGTATCAGGCACCATTCTGGGGGCCGGGCAAAGAACAGGAAACAGAAAGAACACAAAGTCCTACCCTCATGGAGCTTAAATTCTATAATATTATTAGATGTTATTAATAATAAGTACTAAGGAGAAAAATAAATCACAGAAGCAGTGGTGGCACAGCTGGGTAGAGATTTTAAATAAGGTGGTTAGAGAAAGACACACAGAGATTAAATCTGGGTGATGGTACAGAGGAGGTAAGAGAACAAATTATGTAGATGTCTGGGAGAATGGGAGAATAAAGCAAAGAAAGGACTTCCCAGATTAGAAGACTTCTCTGATTTGGTGTGGAGAACTTTAGCGGCCATTCTGTGTCTGGGAGGGTTGAGTGACTAGACTTGGTGGCTACATTGAACAGGGACAGGTGGCAGGGTTGTCTGCAGGGGTCAGCATGTCCAGCCTCCCACCAGCCAGTGGGAAGGGATGAGGGTGGAGAAAGTGGGGAGATAAGCTCTGTCTGCTGCACAGAGTGGCTGTGGGCACTGGAGTCTACTCTCCTGGCCAGCCACCCACAGATGACTGGCACCAGCCTGAGTCAGGAGGCGCACAGAGCTAATGGCTCACCTTGGTCACCACCTCACCTCACTTTCTCCTTGGCATCATTGAAACTCTCAGCCACATAATACAGGGGCTGGAACTCCGTGACGGTGTAGTTTTGGACGGCTGTCTTCTCCAGCTCCAGTGGGAAGAGCTGCGGCTTGTCTGATAAGCAGTACTGCAGGCCCCAGGTGAAAAGTTTCCAAGGTTAAATCAGGATCAGTGGTTCCTGCTACATCCCACAGGTCATTTGTGTACCTTCTCCCATCGCACCCTCATGCCTTCTACACCCCAGCCCAAATGCAGCCACATTATTTTGCATATACTAGATTCTACCTTTCATAGCTCATCTAAAACCTCCAGCCAAGATAGAAAGAAGTAATTCATTCCAACCACTTCTGAGTAAGGTGACACTGTGGGAGCCAACCACATTTCCTGGCATATGTTTCCATGCATACAAGGCTGCACGCACAGTTTAACCTTGGGATAAGGAGGCCCCTCCTGCCTGGGCACCTGTGCACTTGCTGTTCAATTTCTACTGTGAACACCCACGGCTATGATCAAATCATAGCTAAGGTACCGATCACTGGAGGATGAATGAGCCCCTAGGTTGCATCTCAAAATGGATGTCAATGGGGTTTCAAAAACACCAAAAGAACAAAAATGATCTCCTGAACCCACCATTTTCAAATCCATTCTTGTTTCCAGGGTCATACCTGTAATTCACCAAAGGACGACAGGAGCCCAGCACCATATGCCTTTATGGAGTCTCCTTGTTTGCAGAGGCCAAACTCCACGGTAAACCAATAAATCTGGAATAGAAAGTTAAGCTGAGAGCACACCTGTGATGGCTGATTTTACGTGTCAACTCGACTGGATAAGGAATACCTAGACAGCTGGTAAAGCATCATTTCTGGATGTGTCTGTGAGGGTGTTTCGGGAGGAGATTGCCTTGTGAGTTGGTGAACTGAGTGGGGAGGTTCTGCCCTCAATGTGGGTGGGCACCATCCAATTGGCTGGGGTCCTAGATGGAACCAAAAGGCAGAGGAAATCCAAATTCTCTTCCTCCCTCCCTCCCTCCCTCCCTCTCTCTCTCTCTCTCAGAGCAGGACACCCTTCTTCTGCCCTTGGGCATCAGAACTCCAGGCTCTCTGGCCTTTGGACCCCAGGACTTGCACCAGGCTCCCCTTACCCCTGGGTTCTCAGGCCTTTGGCCTCAGACTGAGAGTTACACAATGGGCTTCCCTGGTTCTGGGGCTTTCAAACTTTGAGCCATGCCACTTATCTTTATGGTTCTCTTTCTCTTTCTCTCTCTCTGTATACACACACACACACACACACACACACACACACACAGACACGCACACTCCAGGGAAGGGGAAGGCAGCAGATACCCCAGGACCAAGGACAGAATTGCCCAGGTAGGATCCTGTGCAGGTTTGTTCTCTGGATCAGCAATGACCTGTGATCATCTCTCTGGGCCCTGCATCTCACCTTATTGAGTCACCTATTGAACCAAGAGTTGGCTAAGTGCAAAGTGTGATGGAAGCATGAAGGGTGCTGGGAAACCCCAGAAGAATGCCCCCTTCAAAGCTGTGAATCCAGACTACTTCATAACACACTTTGTGTCCAAAGGCTTTCAAGGGTTATTACTACAGCCTTTCGGTGTTTTCAAGACACTCCATTTAAAATTTGCATAAATATGTATACGTAGCTGATTTTAAAATCAAACCATTAAGGAGAAATCAAAATTATGAAGTTTCATTTGCACAAATGTAATCAATAGTATTCTGATATTTTTTTTTCCAAATGACATGGGTTCCAGGGAAGGAGCAAAGCCTCAAAGATCTGAGAGCCATAGCCCATAGCACCCCTACCATCAACCCGGGAACAGAAGGGACTTACTGTGGCGAGTTTCTCAATGTACTCATCAGGTGCACCCAGGGAGGCAAGGCCAATTTCCTGTAAATGGGGAAAAACAGTCATTGGCACATCTGGGATCTGCCTATCTTCAACCTTCGCCCTCAGTCCCAACCTGGTTCTTGACCATAGGAAGGTATGGTGGCCAGATGCCTTCAGAAGGGCCCAGACAGACTCTGAGTATTCTCTCAGGTCTTTCCTGGCCACGCATTATAGGAGCAAAGATCTCTAGAGCATAGAAAACCTTTCACCATCACTTGGTTCTTTGTGTTCATTTTATAGAGGAGGAAACTGAGGCACAGAGAAGGGAGGTGACCTGCTTGCTTATGGTCACACAGTCAGTCAGTGTCTAATGCTTTATCTCTTGACTTTAGCTCAGTGATTATTCTTCCACAGCACAAGTGGAACATTGCAGGAGTATTGGATGAGTCTTAATCATGTACCCTGAGAACACCACAGGAAAACTGCAGATATGTGGTTGACATCCATCCAGGCACAGAGTGGCTGGCAATGAGTTCTGGGTCCCACAGCTGGTCACTGGCAGTATTGGGGCCGATGGGTGCATCAGAGCCTTCATGCAACCTTCCCACGAGCCCAAAGACCCAGCCATGGCTTTAGGCTGCTTTTCAGTGCCTGGCATTAGTAGAATTCTCTCAGTCATCCAAAAACATTGTTTTGAGCTTGTTCACCGCTGTGAAAGATGAATCAAAGTCTAGGCTGCTGCTTTGATGATGGTGATATGACATTTGGCTCTTCTTTTTTTGTCAACTATAAGTCAGGCTATATTGGCATTGATTCTTGGCAAATATCATCTTATTTAATTCAAGCATATACACAAATGACTACTTGTCAAGGCGGAAAGTTGCAAAAGCCTTAAAAAAGTTGAGAGGATGTAAGAGAACTTGGAAGCAGGTGAGATAACTCCTGCATGGGGATCAGGGAGAGATTTTCATGGATAAAAAGGCTCTTAAACTACATCTGATAGGACAAGTGAAATTAGCAAATTCAACAGCACACATATGAGTCAGAGGATGCGCAATTAACCAAACCCATGCTGTGGTCCCTGGAATGGGTATTTAGCTAACTTCACAGAACAACACACTCATCTCAGGTGGGGTCATAGAACTGTCTGGTTTCCGTTCTTGCAGAGGGTGCAGGGGCCCCTCCATCAGCTCAACTCATTTGAGCAATCCAGGTCCCGGCCATATAACTAGAAGGCTAAAGAGATCCATTCCTTACCTGGGAAAACTGGGCAAAGCTGCGATCTGAAAACAAGGGCACATGTCCCAACAGTTCATGGCAGATGTCACTGAAAGACAAAAAGCACAGAGATTGGGGGGAGGAAGATTAAGCCAAGCCAGACTCAGTCTCTCTACATGAGAAATTGGCAGGAACACAGGAGGTAATTCATGGACTTGTGAACTGTTTCCCAGGATTAAGTGATATGCAGAGTTAGGGTCAGATAAGGAAAAGTACAGGAGAAAAGGATGAAGGGGAAAGAAAAGTAAGGGACAGGACACATCAGTGGTCTTAGGAGTATGCCCAGTGGGGTGCAGGGCAGGAGAGCCAGTATTCCTGGGGGCATCCTCCCAGACACCTAAGTTAGCTGTGGGTCTTGGGCATTTCTTATCCCAAGTCTTCTCCTTGGTAATAACTTCCCTGGGCAGGTACAATATGCTCAGTTATTCACATTGGGAACTAAAAAAAAAAAAAAAAAAAATAGTGCTGCTCTTCTCTGAGTCTGGAGGGGGGCAGCAGTCAGGGAAGAAAAGCTACATTTATTTAACACTTTAGGTGCCACATCCATTTGGAACAGTTCTTTTCTTATTTGTAGCAATGAACTTTGTGGGCATGGGAAAATAATTTGGGGATGTCCTACTGATTTTGTTGTTTAAATTGTGTGAATTTTATCTGACTAAGGAGATGGCTAAACACCAAAGTAAGCACAGTGGCTGGCCATTCTCTACCTCTAGCCAAGACACAATCTAGACAAGGAAAGATTAGAATCATCCAAATGTGTATCGAGGAGGTGTTGAGAGAGTTTGGCTGTCACTTGTTCCTGTTCCCGTTTGCAATTTCATATCTCTGACTTTGGAACTTGAGAAGGTTCTCTCGTTTCCACTGCCAGGGGAGTTCTAAATCCTTGGATCACAGGATGCCCGAATCTCCAATTGGTCTGCTCTATTTGGACAGAGAAAATATTCAGAGTAGATGATTATCTTTCTGCCATCAAACAATCCAGGCAACTAGTCCTGTGGACCAGACAGCAACGAACCCAACCCTCATTCCTGGAGCAGGAAGAGATGACACTCACTGTACCTGGCAACTGGTAGCTAGAGGACAATACTCACGGTTCGGGTGTGTACATGGGCTTGGATCCATGTCTGATGTACTGTGTGCAGTGGAAGACTCGGAAGGCCAGACCACCCAAGAAATCCCGAGAGGAAAGCAGGCCAGCCACAGGTCGGAGGCGGAAACCAGTGCAAGCTGGGAAGCAAAGGAAAAAGAAAACTCAAAGCCCACGACAATGCAGCCAGAGAGGCCTGAAGACCTTCAGGCAGGGAAGAAAGTACACACAATTGCCCAGGAACATGCCAAGTAGACTTGGCTTCAAATCTCTGCCCCATTACTTTCTAGCTGTGTGATTTGGATAAAGTAAATTCACATTTCCGAGGCTCAGTTTTCTTATCTACATAATGTGGATAGATACTTCTTAGGGATGTTTCACGAATCAAAAGAGAAAGAGCTAATAACTATAAAGCGCTTAGCACAGAACCCTCACATTGGAAACACCCAATAAATTTAGCTTTCATTACTGTTTGTTAGGGTGGAACACTTACTCCTTACTTCTCTTGTTTCTAGAGTAGGGAGGGATTTTCACTCCATTTTCCAGGAGGGAAGAGCATGAAAGGAACCCTTCTTGCTTCTTATTGTACCTCACACAGTCCACCCCATAGGGAGCAGTGACTTGTCTGGTTGGAGCATTTGGGAAGAAGAAATGAATATTCTCAATTTAACCCTTCCCGTACTGCTCTTTCTCTCCTGATGGTCCACAGAGAAGCACATTCTGGTCTGCTCCTGGGAGACCCACCACCCAGACAATGCACATACCTGCTGAGCTACTCAGATTCTGCTCTTGGCTATACAATGGACTATGCTCCGTAAATTGGCAGGTAAGTTTACCTGACCAAGGGGCAAAATATTAGGAAGTCCATTTGGCTACACATCTATACCACATTCTCTACGTAGGTTTTTTTTTTTTTTTTTTTTTTTTTAAAGCTGACATTTTGATCACCATCTCTCTGGTTCCTACATCTGTCTCTCAGTTTGCTCCAAACTTAGAAGGAGAAGAATAATGACGGTGAAAATAATAATAATAGTTAACCCTATATATCACTTGCCATATGTCAGACACTGTTCTAAGCACTTTACATATACTATCAATCCTCACATTAACCCTATGAGGTAAACGTTCTTAGTATGCCCACTTTACAGATGGAGAAGCTGAGACGCAGAGAGGTTAAAGCTCTGGTTCGAGGTCACGACCATAGACAGTGTGGCTTTAGAGCCTGTTCTCTTAGTTACTATTATATGACTTTCCAATTTGTAGTGTTACTGTTTTATTATTCTCATTATTGGCCATGGCAACAGGGGTAATCAGCTACAGAATATCTTTAGGATCAATTGGGTGTCCCCTCATGTTCTGTGTGTCTTTGGGCTGAAGCACTCTCTGCTTGGATTCTCATATGTTTCTTTACCTGAGAAGAAAGACTCTCTAAATGAAAAAGACCCAAAAGGCCATCTAGCCCACCCCCAATATACCCCAGTATATCCCAGCTACAACCTCCCTCCCTGCTACGTGGTTTCCCTGGCTGACTGCCCTGGCATTGTCCATCTCTGCACAGCCCTGATGCATAGAAAATTTTTTATTTCTATAACCTGTGGTCTATTTCCCTACCTTTTCTCATTCTGCCTAGCACATGGCAGGTGTTCAATATATGTCAGTTGATTGTTTTGTTTTGGTTTTGCTGAATTAATATCCTCCTGGCAAAAAGGAAAACATTTATCACCCCTGGACATGCCGCGCACAGGCCCACCACCCAGACAATGCATGTGCCTCCTGAGTTACTCAGATTCCAATTCAGTCCAAATTCACAGAACACCTACTGTGTATGCAGCCCACGATAATGCAGCCAGAGAGGCCTGAAGACCTTCAGGCAGGGAAGAAAGTATACACAATTGTACACACACTCTGGGTGCTTTCATATTGCAACATCTTATTTCATTCCCACAATTTCCCTATGAGAAAAGCTAGAGTTGACACAGTCTCCATTTGACAGATGACAAAACTGAGGCAAGTTCATCCAGCTAGAAAGGATCAAAGACAGGATTCCTATCAGAAACACAGACTCAAGAGCTCAGGGCTCTTGGTACTGCCCCCACGAATAACTCATTTCTTAGACATACACTGCAGTCAACTCATAACACAGCAGGAGCTGCAGGGAGAACCCTCACTGGGAACCCTGGGCTTGAAGTACGAAAGAAAATACTTTTCTATGTATACAGACAAATCCACACCTGATGTCTCTGCTTGGATGAAAGTAAACTAACTGTGGAGGTTAGAGGGAAGGTGTAGCACAGTGAAATTCAGTTCTTTCTGGGAGACTCAACCTACACATACCCCACAAGCACACATGCCCGTATTCACCTCTGTGTATCTTTTTCCCTCTTCCCTTTCCTCCACTCTAGCCCTCCCCTACTTCCTGCTGGGCCTTTGGCCCCGATGTGGACTTACACTGCAGGAATTGAGAAACATCTTCCAGCTGGGGAATGTTATCTTCGTGGAAGCCACAGTACTTTTCCAGAAGCGGAAAAATGTGATTGTGCTCGTAGCAAGCGTGGGTTTTGTACAAAGACTTCAGAGTCCGGAACACTGTACCCCATGTTTTCTTTTCTTCCTCCGTGTATTCCACTCGAGGGATGGGCTGCCCACTAGAATACAAGCACAAAATATGTGTCCCCAGCAGGGCAGGGGCAGAGCGGGGGACACAGGTAAGGCTAAGGGAGGGAGTGGGGGTCCAGAGTCTGTGAGCTGCCGCCACTGACTATAGTGGATTTCAGAAGTTATTTGACAGTTTCACTTCTTGATACAGGAAACACTGTTGTGGAAAGAGTGATTTGATTAAGCAATGATACAAATCTTACAATGCATTGAGGATTTGCTCTTACTCTGGGAAATCACTTGGCTTTTCTGTTCTTCTAACTCTCCAGTTGTTTACCTCATGTGGAAATTCACTTACCTTCAGGGGCCAGGCAGGTAACATAAAGGTATGCAGTAGCAGGTGTAAGGCAAGGAGAGTGAGGGCTGAGACAATTAGAGAAGAATGCATTCTCTTTCTAAACAAAGACATCTAAGTTCAGTTCAAGCAACATAGTGTTTTGTATTATTTCAACAAAAGCAACTATACCTGTGGGCTAAACTGGATTTCATAGGTGGGCCATGAGTCTGAGACCCCTTTGTTTAGTGGACATGCACTTACTGGATTTGATATTTCTGCTCCTGGGACGTTATAAAGGTATTTGAATACCTGCTAAGATTCCACAATGTATACATATATCACAATGTCATGTTGTATACCATAAATACATACAATTTTTATTTGTCGATTAAAAAATAAATACATTCTAGATCAAAGATAATAAATAAATATTGGAACAAGGAGAGGATCAATAAATAAATCCACGCTAAACTATATGATGCTATGATACCTTGTCCCTTATCTACATGGAGCTAACTCACACTGAGCTTGTTAAAGTACACATGCCCGACCCTACCTCATAGATCCTGAATCTTTGGCACAAGGGAAGGCCCAGGTTCCTGGATTCTAATAAGTCCCCCAGGTGACTCTAATGCAAACTATAGTTTAATACTCATTAGTTTGAAAATTCCTTTTGTAAAACACTTAAGAATGAGCTGTATTCTGAACAGCAAAAACAAATGAAAACCAAACAAAGCCTGACTTCAAAGTCCAGTGACTATTCCCTGGGCTGGAGGTCTGTTTCCCTAAAGGGACACAGAGTCTGGGACAAAGCGAAACTGTTTACCTCAGAACCACAGATCATCATCAGGCTCCCAACCAGGTCTCTCCTGTCCTTTCAGAGTTGGAGCTCATCCAAGGACACTAAAGCAAGCTCTTTGTTATTTTCTACAGAAAGGTGGCAGGGATCAGGGAGAAAAGACAGATTTTTCCATAAGAACTGAAAGCGGGACAAGCTCAGAGAGCCTTGTGGTAGCCAGAAGGAATGACAGTGAAAAACATATCAAGTAAGTGCTTCCCTAAGAAGGCAGCACTACTTCAGGGCTAAGCACTGAGGGAAGAGAAGAACAGAGAGAGACTTCTCAATGCTTGGTCCTGCCACTCACTAGCTGAGTGATCTCAGGCAATTCAGTAAACCTCTCTGAGCCTCAGTCTGTGCAGCTGTTACATGGGCTAAGGATAAATAACTATTTGTAAGGCATGGATGAAATTAAGGAAAATACTACATATAAAATATCTACCATTGGAATTGACAAATAATAATCACTGGATAATTGATCATTATCATTACTGATTCTCATTTAAAAGAGAAAGGCATATGTTCTTTCTGCAGAAAATTTCAAGAGATGGTAACATCCTGGACCAAGACGTCCCCCTGATTGACATTTGCTGTTCTAGGGACACAACATCTGTTCCTCTTCTTCCAGGAGAGCACCTTTCCCCCCTCTCCGTCTGGAAGGTTCAGGTGAGAAGAAACCCCTACCTTCAGAGGGGGGCATGTGACCAGACTACGCCAACTGGAGTGTCTCAGTCCCCTGGCCACAGCGACTGCCTGAGTGATGGGCCCATCACCTAATCGGAGCCAGTGAGACTCAATGACAGAGCTTTGGCTCACTTTCTTGGAAAGAGACAGAACCTCTAAGTGAGTTGAGGTGTCAGCCTAGAGGTGCCGAGGTCCATCTCCGAGAGAGATGAGGCCAGTGCCTGAGGGCAAGGCCAATGCAGACGACACTAGAGCCAGAGAGGGGGAGCCCTGGGGCTGCCTGTGCCTAAACCACCTCCTTAAACTCTTCATTTATAGGAGCCATGAAGTCCCCCTTTTTGTTTAAACTGACTTGCAGCTGAAAGATATAAGCTTCTAGGATCCATTTCATCTATTCCTAGATAAAACTTAAAAGCCCCATCCCTACCCCAGTAATATAATCAAAACCTGCTGCAGCTGCCTTTTAGATGGTGCTGGACACAATTCTTGGCTCTGCTTCCAATTCACCACTTTGACTCTTCATTCTTATATCTTCTCTTGGATTCATTCATTCATTCAATAAATATTTTGTGAGCACCCACTATGCTCTGTACAGCAGTGAATAAAATAGTCGACAACTCCTGCCCTCATGGAGTTGACATTTCTAGTGGGGGGAGACAGAAAGCCAGCGTGATTCTCTTAGGCGGTAGTAAGTGCCATGGAGGGAAAAAAAAGGGCAGGGTGGGGGTGGGGACAAAGGTATAGGGAGTATCAGGTAGGGTTTCAGTTTTACACAGGGTGCGGAGAGCGCCTGGCTGAGAAGATGAGAGCCGAGTAAAGATGGGAGGAGCTGAGGCCTCACTGCTTCACTCTGGAGTCATCCTTTCAGCCTGCGCATGCCAGTTGGAGGTTCTGACTATACTTTCCTGCAGGTTCATCTGCTCAGCACCACTCTCTGAAGTCTGGGGCAATGACAGCCCTGTGTCCCTTGTGTACTTCCTGGGCAGCTCATCCTGACCTAGATACGTTAGTGCCCAAGGGCCCCTGCTTTCCTGGGAAAAGGTAGGAGAGCTTGAATTCTAACTCTGCAACTTCCTAGCTGAGTGAGGCCTTGGGCAAGTTTTAAAAAGCAAAAGCACCATAAAACACACACACAGGAGAATGTGAAAACATGACACTACATAGGTCACGTGAAGGATGTATGTTTATAGTATGAGAGTGGAAACAGAAAGGCAGAGTGTTGCCTTGTTCGACCCCAGCTAGAGACCTGATCCTCAGCAGAATCACATTTGCCCTGCGCTTTGCAGGTCCTAGAATGACGGTGCAAGTAGACAGTGAGTATTGATTTTGGGGTCACAAACACATTTAAGCAAGCAGGCAAGTTCACAAATACAGAATTTGTGAATCATGAGGATCCACCGTACCAGACGCCAAGGTGAAAGACAACTTCAAAGGAAGGGATGGTAAACAGCATCAAAAGCTTGTAAGAGATGAGATAAAGCGAGGTCTGAAATAGGCTTTGAGTTTGAGGACTAGTTCAGTCCTTAACTAGCGATATAAGCCCAGGGATCCTCATTTAGCCATCTGGGATTGGTCTATCAAAGGTGGGAAATTGACTAGAAGATCTTTGATGTCTTTCTGAAAGCCCAGCCATCTATGGATGGTTTTCATAACCAAGTTAATTGAGTACCAGCCAGGATCGTGAGGTATTCCATCAATTCCATTCTTCATTAGGTTTAACATTTTTATGGAAAGGAGGGTGAGGAGGATCATTTATACCCTGGAATATCAACAGCCCAGGAGTGAGGGAATGTGCCTCCCAAGCATCTCCACCTTGATGTATGGAGAAGTGCAGTCTCCAGCCTCAGAGTCCCCAGACACTCAGGGATGTGGCTGAGAATAACTTTGGAGGTATAGGATCTTGGCTAGTTCCTTAACCTTTTTAAGCTTTAGTTTAAAAAAAGAGGAGATATTAATAAGACTAAACAAAATAATACATACAAAGCAGCTAGCAAAGTCCCAGGCACACAGCAAGGATATAATAAATATGATCTGTTATTATCGACGGTCTGAAGAAGGACTCTTACCTGTACTTGATTTGATGGTGTCCACCTGTCCATGTGGGGCAAAGGTATGGACAGGGGTCACCATTTTCAGTGATCCCTGCTTGGCCCAAGCCAAGGCCCAGATGGGCCTAGATCTGTCCAAGGGCAGCACAGTTCTAGATCCTTCCAATACCAGGAGTCATTCAGAGAAGAAAATTTTCTCAATTTCTGTGGAGGTCTTCATGTTGAAGGTAACTTATTCAGTATTCAGTATTAGCAGTATTCAGTATAGCAGAGGCTCATCACCTCTGTTTCCCTGAGGTTCTATCAAAGCTGTTAAAGCAGTGTTCTGAACAACTCTGAAGTTTCTTCTCGTGCTTATCTTTCTTCTTTCTTTAACTCAGGAGTGGCGCTGTCCCCAAAACACTAAGTTTTCTGTGGTAGCATTTCTGTAGTTCCTGAGTACTCAAAACAGCGAAACTATTCTCTTTCCAAACAACATATTTGATATTTGCATTTTCTTTTGGCTAAAATAGGGTAGGGGAGGAGCATAGAATCCCAGACAGAAATAACCAGACCCATCCTAAAATTGCCCTTCACAGCTGGGTCAGACCAGATAAAAGTAGAACGCTGAAGCTTAGCTGGCCTGAAATCTCAAATGATTCATTATTTCAGTGAAGCAGCCAGCTCCTTCTTGAATGTAAATGATTCTCTTTTTCCTTCTTCCCTGTTTAATGTGGAGAAGACCGGAGGCTGTTTTATTCAGGACTGAGGCCTTTTATAATTACTTCAGACACCACTGCATAATTAGACAACAAAGCTGGGGAGAGAGCGGGGCCCCAGCACAGTGGGTAATTTTGTTTTGTCTAATGGCAATTTTTTAAAACACATGTTATCGGGGGGGAGGGGCGGCGGGGTTTACACACACACACACACACACACACACACACACATGCAGAGAACGTAGGACTCTCCACATCTGTATTTTCCAACCCCAAGTGGTTGAAGGCCAGGGAGAGGCAAGCTAGGGGTGCGCTCTTCTCTCCTCCCCCCAACAAAGACGGCAGACTTACTGGCGGTAGTTGTAGGCAATGTCAGCAAACTGCTTCCGTCTTTCTCGGTACACGGGATCTGTAAAACCCTGAAAGAAAAGAGACACCTGATTCCTCAAGACTTCGGAGGGAAAGGCCTGGTACCTTTACGAATGCCTCGAATGGGGGCTCTCAAGCTGTGACAGTACATGTCTCCTTCCTCAGTGCACGAGACAATGCGTGTCTCACATCATGAACTGAAGTGTCACCTTCAATTCAGCATGAGCCTCCCTGCTGTGGGCTTCCAATGTGCAAATGATGCACAGGTACACCCTAGTCTTAAAGAAATCTCATCTACAGCACATCCAACTTATAAACTTGCTAAATTAGACAAAGTTGTAAGATGAATGTTTAGGTTGAAGATATACAATATCCATTTAATTCCCGACCAATGAATGGTATGTGTCTAGCACTGCCTCCTAACTTTTTGGTAGACAAACAGGTACATGCTTACTGCTATTGCAATTTTTAAAATTACCATTTATTGAGTGCCTACTATGTGCCAGTCTATGTGTGCTAGGAACTTAATTTATTTATAAGTCTCATAGCAAACTTGTAAGGTAGACCAGTATGATCAGCCCCTCCTGCCCAGAAGAAACAGTGAGTCAGAGAAATGCAATTATAGTGAAGATGAGGCCAGGACTTGGATCACTCAGTTCCATGCTCTTTGGACCACATGTCAGTAATTGTCGACCTTTATACCGCAGCAGGCGCTCAGCTAGCTGAGAAATCTGTCTCAGGATCTAAAAAGGATGATGCTATTTCTCCTCTGTGGCTGACTTGCAGACAGCCTTTCCCCAGGGATTTGCAAGCAGCACATTTCCAGGTGAAAAGAGGCTAAGCGTGTCTTTGAGTGTTTGGGGTGGGGGATGGGGGGAACCTCCCTGATTCAGAAGTGATCCCAATTGATTAAGAGAGCATTTCCCAAAAAAGCTGATTGCAAGACAAAAGACTGGTGTCATCACAGTAGAACTCTGCTCTGTTTCCTCCAAGCCTTTCCCAATAAGCCATGCCACCCCACCACTGCAGCTTGCAGTTTCTCTGCTCTCCCAACCCTCCAAACCAGGGAGATAATGAATCCAAAACAAAGGCTTGTATTATGGAGAGCAATATTTAAAGGAATCTTTTAAAAAGAGAAATATTCCCTGAATTTTAGATAATGCT